CCGCACTTCAGGAGGGATGTGGACAACATGGAGAGGGTCCAGAGGAGGGCCGCTCGCATGATCAGGGCAGCAGGGCAGGCCCTACAAGGAGAGGCTACAGGACCTGAACCTGTTCAGCTTCCACAAGAGAAGGCTGAGGGGAGATCTAGTGGCCTGTTACAAACTAGTCAGAGGTGACCAGCAGGTACTGGGGAAGTCCCTGTTCCCCCGTGCACTACCAGGGGTGACCAGGAATAACGGTCACAAGCTGGCAGAGGGTAGGTTCAGGCTAGATATCAGGAGGTGCTACTTAATGGTCAGGGCTGCTAGGATCTGGAACCAGCTTCCAAGAGAAGTGGTGCTGGCTCCTACCCTGGGGGTCTTTAAGAGGAGGCTAGATGTACACCTTGCTGGGATCGTTTGACCCCAGTACTCTTTCCTGTCATGGCAGGGGGTCAGACTTGATGATCTGCTCAGGTCCCTTCCAACCCTAGAAACTATGAAACTTCCTTCTACCAAACTAACTACTACTCGGTGGAAGGGTAACAATATATTAATAAACAACATAACTTACATATAGGATTTTGCTTTAACTCTTTTTATCATGTAAATTGCATTGTTTCAGATTTAGATTGAAAAATGTAGGTTTCGTTTAGTTGTTGTTGGTATGGTGATTTAGACTCCTGCCCTTCCATAGCTTGTAATAACCAGCAAGCCTGTAGTCACAGTTCCAGTGCTTTCAGCAATAACTAACTACCTTAGTGGCTGCAGCTGAGAAATTGAGAACTTTTCTTGATTTCTTTGGATTTTAGAAACCTCCTAGGGTAGATATCTTCTGTGTACTATGCTGAGCACACTGAGCTTATTTAGTTGTTAATAATAATTTGTCATTGCTACTAGATATCACAAAATCAGATGTGTTAGCAAAATAGAAAACTACTTTTGCCAATCCAGAATTATGGTAAATCTTACAAATACAGTCTGGTTGAGGATATAGACCTTCATACTTTCATATTTCAGGGCATAAGTCAATTCTGGACAACTGGAGATTTTTCCATAGCCAGTGAAAATAACCCTACCTCCCACCCATTCATAATAGTTTATTGGAAGGATTCCATTGAAGCAGTTGGCACCAGCCATTGCCAGAGACAGATTGGTATCTCATGGCACTTCAGAGTCTACATCACAGGGTGATGATTACTCTTCTTTTTCTAATGGCAGGTTAAATTCTCTCTTGCCTATGTTGTTGAAAAGTGGCAACCATCTTAACAGAAAACAGCCTTGGTCTCACTGGAATCAGTTGATTGTAGTAAAAATTTTAAAAGCAAGCAGTGGTTTGGGTGGGGGGGTTCCCCTCAAGATTTCTCTGCTAGACAGAGTTTGAAGGAAAGTTTTGAAGGAAAACTTCTTGTTGTAGTAGATCTATTTATTTCATTCTCTGCCAAGTCTTATGTTGATACAAGTTGACAAATACACTGAGCACAGACTAATTTAAAACATTCCATATTAAACCCTAGTAGAGCAAACAAATTCCTTAATTTCTTTACATCCAGAAAGTTGTCCTATTGTAGGGCTATTTCAGAATTGAATTTTATAATGGCCAATCTTTCTGTAATTCACAAAAGCCATAGTATGAGCAAAATTTAAAACGTGTCCAGAAATTGTTTGAAGTCAAATTACATCATGCATGAGCATAATTTGCCTACCTATTTCTGCTCTTTGATCTGTACCCAATGGGAAATTGCTTTTATCTTTACATGACTAAATATTACTGTGTAAGTCTTGCTTTAGCCAGTCAGCAGTTTCAGTGAGAGTCATGCAGTTACCTGAAGAACAAAATGTCATGCTTATAAGAATAACAAAAATAAAAATGAAAATTGATTTTGAATCTATAGCCATAGTAGTTATGTAGGTTATCTTGTTTGTTTCTTTTTTTGGAATATTCTCCAAAAAGCAAAAGTATTATCGTATGTCAAAGTGTTCTGAAGAGGTTTGTTTTACTTATTTAACATTTTACTGGGAAATGCAACAACAAAACCATTCCTAGTACAATGTACCATTTAGAGCTGGATAAAAATAGACCACCAGAGCTTCTGGGCCAAAAGATGATTTTTCATTTTGATTTGTCTATGAAATATCAAATGGGAATTGGTCATAATAATCTAATTAGTTTATAAACAATCAAGAATATATAATAACTAACTGCTTGCACTTCTGCTAAGGTTTAGTGTGAGGTCAAGGGTCAAAGTACTAATAAGAGTGTTTGGGATGTCTACTGCCATGAAACAAAATGGAAACTTGATTGATAGCTAGGGGTCTGAAGGGAGAGAGCGCAGTGGAGAAAGCAAAGGTCATGGAACCATTTCTCTTCTCTGCATATATAATGACGAACCTTTTCCAAAATAGAAAAATGTAGGTATGAAGGATCAATATAGCATATGCTAGGCACATTTCTTCTACTAATTTAAACACAAATTAATGAAATTTCAGATAAATTAATAGAGGTATCATTTTTATATCAACCATTGTTTTTTATATGCAAGACACTGGTTCACTAAATTTGTTCTCTGGTTCAAACATTTTAATTATACTGATATAATTTTAAACTAATGGAAAACTGAAATACAAGCGTTATAAAAATCTAAGCTTGCTTTATAGGTTTAAATCTTTTATTTATTTTATATTTTGCTTTATCTATTTCAAACAAAGTTAATAAACTTTTGTAAGTTTAATAACCAATGCCATTTAAACACAAATTTAATATGATGAAATTTCTTTTTCCTCTCCTTTTTGTAGGTCTTGTGTGCATGAAATCTAGTAGTTCAGTTGTGGAGTTGGTCATGCTGCTTTGTTCTCAGGTGAGATTTTCTCAGGATAAATAACTGTAGCTAAAATAACTGATTTTAACATTGTTGAAATTGCACCAAAAATGTATGTTAGAACATATTTTTAATTGTAATGTAGAAGGACCATGACCTTGATGTTTTGATTTGTAAAGGATTGATGTTATACAAATGGTCAAATCTCAATAGGTAGGTGAGGATGTTGAGGCTTCTATATCCTATTGTTAACTTTTACATAATCTCCATTTCAGTGTTTTACTAATTCTGTGCTGTCATATTACAAAGGAAGATAAAATGAATAAATATTAAGATTATTGAAACATTGATTTTTGCACCTTGGCACTTCCATCCTTTGGGATGAGTGAGCTTTTTCCTTTTGTTCAGAGATTATGAAATGAGTGATAAATGTGTTTTGAAATCCTTGTCATTATTAATTGCTTTTGACATGTCCTGTGAATCAGAAAGTGTGCAAGGCATTGACCATGCTGGTCAGTTCATGAGTTTTCTACGTTCCTGGAGGCAAAATCACTCTAGGTACGTTAAACACCTTAGAATTGCCTTGGGTAGTGCTGATAAGAACCTTCAGAACCTTCTTAGAATTGTACTCAGAGAATTGCATGCACTAGATCAAATGGATATTCTTTTGCTGTCCTTTTGCCTTCTTTTTTGTAATTAAATAGAAGAGTGTTTTATTGAGCTTTTCTTTTTGGTGCTTTAAAAATGATACCTTGCTGGTAGTAAATTTCCCTACTTAAAACTTTAAAATAGCCTTTTTTAATGGGAAGGATATTGGTCTAGAGGTCAAGGGTTCTGACCCATTTCAAAACCTTTGACCTTCATTTACAGCCCTTATGGTTTACTTGCCTGACGAATAAGGATAATGCAAAATTAATGTTTCTTTGCATCGATTTATTCGTTTTAGTGCCTATATTGCCAAATTTATTTAGACTGTGCTGATGGACATTTCATGAATACAAATGAAAGAATCATAGAAGGTGTGAAAAATCAATAGTCTACATTGTCAATAAAGTGCAATAAGTACAATTACTTCTGGAGATTACACCTAATGGATTTTACAATGAACTAGTGAAGAGTAGTTACGTTTCTAGTGGGCTTATTATTCATGGATGCAGTTAGATTTTGCTTACATAATTCTGCTGCTTTTGAAGAAAATAATCAAGAACCTGTACTTCTCTAAAGAAGTGTTAACTAATAGCTGTCCTAGAACTTTTGGAGTTTAGAAATCATTTCCTTTTTTGTAAATATTGCTTATTTTCTGCAGTTATTCCTATGTATATTTTACTTAACACACATCTAACATTTAAAAAAATTAATGCCCATATACTAGGAAATCTATATGAAACTTCTTATATTTTATTAACTACATACAAAACAGGGCCTTGAGATGTAAAAAAGCTTTTTAAAACTCTCTGATTAACCCATTTTGGTTTGTCATAATGTACAATTTGTTTATTTCAGTGAAGGGTTGTTGAATTTATTTGATGAGGTTAAATATTTTTTTTTAGTGGTAAAGAGCAGTGTTTGTCCTCTGTACAGTATGTTGCATGTATGATTTTTGGAAGCAGAAAGGATAAGGAGCAAATGACATACTCTAATGCACCTATTTGTCATACATGTCACAGTGCTGTTTAATGCTAATCTAATCAAATGGAGGATGTGGCCATTTCTTAGTAGTATTAGTACCAAAAGATGAGGCTGTTTTGAATAAAATAGCTGGAATAAACCAGTAAAGGCACACAGGACTCTCAAAATCTTGTTAAAGTTACAAGCAGCTGTAATATTTGGCAGAATACAAAAAATGATGTGAGAAATGAAGCCAAAATTAGCTCCAGATGTATACAGATTGTTCTGGGGTGATAATTACATTTTTCACTTTGAATTTTCCTAATTCAGAGAGGTCAGCATGGCAATGACAAAAGTGATTTATTTTGTTAAGAAGTGAACTGTCTTTTGCTACATGAAAGCTTGAGAGATATGAAATTGAATTTCAACTCGACATTTTACAGATACTGGGAGGAGATGGGACTGAGTTTGATTGATTTTTCTTTTTGGCCCAAGATGGGGTAGAAAGTGAAGTGATAGCCTCTTGCTAAAATTTTAATTAATTTTTAAGAGGAGATGGAGAGGATAGAGTACCAAAGATCGAAAGATCAGGTCAAAAACTAGTTTCTAATCACATAAATAATGTGGTATAGTTACATTCTAAGTATCTGTGAATTTGATTTAAAACTCCACAAATTTGTCAGCCATCATTTTACTAAATGGAAGAGGTGTTATGATTTATATCTTTAAAACAATTGGGAAAGCAATTAAGTATTAAAAATAAAGTAAAGCACATTAGATGTTAATAACGTAAATCAAACTAAGCATCAATCTTGTTCATTTCTCAGAAGCACTGAATACAACAATTAGATCTGTTTTTTACTACAGCATTGTAACTTTTTTTTCTATTACATTTAGTAGGTGAAGTGCTTTTAACAAATCTAAGTATGGATACCTGTGAGAGAGAATTTGCTGTGGAACTATGTATGCCATCTTGTTCAAGCTTATTTTAAAATCCAGATATTTGCTTCTATATGCTGTACCTGTATGCAAATATACTTTTGAAGACTGTAAGACTTCATCTCACTGTCTTCTATAAAATATTGAACAACTGAACGTAGTGCAAATTTCTTATATAAAACCATGATTGATATTAAAACTAAGGCTTATTCTCAAACACACCATCTAAAAGCAGTTTTTGACTGACACACTGCATTTGGGACTTTGTATACTTTCATTTATATAAATCTATCAAAACATAAGAAATTCTTCATTTAATATTACTACAAAGTGTTTCTGCTTATTTGACATTAATATCATTTTCGAAAGAATCAATGTTGCATTCAAGGCCACTTTATAAAAGCGTTGCGTTGCTCATCCTAATTCAGTCTGACATACATTCCAATAACACTACCTCCCTTCTAGGGTTTAAAGCTAAATTTATGGCTGAGCATTGTGAAGTGCATCATTTAAAAATGGTTTCAACCCAAAACATCTAATAAATAAATAATGTGTATGGCTACTCAGTAGTAGACTTTCCAGACTAGAAATCATTCCATCGGATACTCAACAGTCCACTATCGGAGAGGGCTGTCAGATAAATCTTATAGTAGCTGCATTCATGTCCTGTAAATCACATGTTATTGTCTGAGCCTTCTGCCAGGTCATCTATTCTTTTCCCATTTATCAGAAATGCATACAGTACACTGAAACTAGAAGCACCATCTAGTCTGGCCTAGCATCCTGTGTGGGGTAATTAAACCAGCAAAAAGAGTGAAGTCCTTAGATAGTCTGATGATCCTTTTTAAATGGATGACGTCAGAATGGGTTATATGCATGTGCGTGCTATTTTGAGACGAGCTTCCTTCAAGTTGAAAGTCCAGGGCTATTATTGGAGAAACAGCATTTTTCCCTAAAATGGCTCTAAAAACATGACTAAAATTTTAAGGGGCACATTGAAGAGTTGTGTATATCTGCATAAATAAATAGGCATTGTGTGTAACAACTCATTTGTCAGGTAGAGTAATGAAGCTGTTCCCTTGAAATAACTTAGTTAACATGGAAAAAGCTCTTTTGATTTTTTTATAACATACTTTTGTCTCCATATAATATGAAACTCTACTTGGTAGAGGTAGCAGAGGGGTGAGAAAGGTATAATAACCTGATAAAAAGGAACAGGTGACAAAAGTAACTTTTGTTTTCCTGATGATTCTAAACGAGAGATTCCCAACCAGGGTACCCTGCTTTAGGTACAATGCAGGTACCTGCACCTGCCCCAGCAGCACTCCCTGTGGCCACTTACCCCAGCTCCAGGGGCAGGGGTAAAGCAGGGGAACTCTGTACTGAAAAGTGTAATCCCTGCACTGACCACCACTGTGCTCTGAGCAGCATGCTGTGCTGTGGGCAGAGAAATGTGGGGCCATGCTTTTTCAGCCTGGCTCCTTCCCTTGCTCTTCCCATGCTTCTGGAGCTCATGAAAAAGGCTGCAGAGTATGGTCCAGTATTCATGTCCTTGGAGGTGCAGCCACTGCAAGAGGCTGCACTCATCCCCTTAAGTACAGACTGGGGGCAGGCAAGGGGAAGACTGTGGAAAGAGCAGAGCAGGTAAGGGTCCTGCACCAGCCTCTGCCAGTGGCCACTGTCACTCCTGTCTGCCTCCTTCAGGGGTCTAATGAACCATCCTCAAGCTTCCTTATTTCCCTGGTTAGCAGACCCTGTTGCTGTGAGCATTGTGCCATGCCCCTTGCTATGCTTTCAGGGTGCGACCCCATGATATCATTTTAAGGGAGCCACAGGGTATGAGGAGCGAAGTACTGTAAGAAATAAATTGGTCTTTAAATGGGGTGCCATTCAATTACAAAACATTATTTAGGTATACCTTGAGTCTTAAAAGATTGAGAACCACTGCTCTAAACTATTGGCAATATTTTGGCAATATTTAATCCTTCTCTTTCAAGGAAATCTACAAACCTGTAAGAGGAACAGCTGTAGGAGAAGACATCAGTCTCTTCGTCAGGTTCCTCCTTGACTTAGATGCTCTGGAATAGGGCTTTTAACTTTCCTTGATTATAAGACTGGTCTGTTTTTAATGGATTAAAATGGCAACTGTGATCTTTTTTAAGAAAGGAAAAAAAGGTATGGCTCAATGTTAATAATTCAACCCTCTGCATACCGACTTTTTCTCCTTCTCTGTCATAATGCTAAGTTAATGGTTCTTTAACATTTTTAGAGTTGAGGCACCCCTGGACAGGCTCAAGATACTCCTCAGAAAGGTTTACAAATATGAGTCACAAAATGAACCCAGAGGTTTCAAATAGAAATCCATAGCTGTGGTCTTTTTGAGTTTTTTGCAACAGAAAAACTACTTTATTTTTTCTTTAGGCAAAAATAAGAGCTGGTCTAACAGAACTAACATTATGTGGCAACTTGTGGCACAAGGCATCTCAGGGTGC